ATTGAATTGATGATTGCAGCAATCTGAAGGGATCGATCTAATAAACTTCCGGCCTTAATCCATACCATTTTTAATTCGGTTTGAAAGGAAAGGCGCGGAAATGAAACATTTTAATCTTTTATTAGTAAAAACCATGACATTGCTAATTGTTGTGATGTCCCAAAAATTCCTTACTTGATCTCAGGCCAGCTAGTTTTAAAAATTTTTCAATGACAATTAAAATGCTGAAATCCTAAAGAGAGTAATATCAGTGTTACATGTAGAACCGACAATAGAAAACGCTATCGTTGCTCATCTAAAACGTATTACTGAAACCCTTCATATCTTAGGAGTTCTCTGATGCAGACCAATGCAGTCATTTGGAGTTCGGTCCTGAAGGAAGTTTTGACAGGAAACGTTTCAAAAACCATGTGATCCGTATCGTTCGAGTTATGGTACAGGAGTTCTGCAAAAATATGTATGAAATGGAACCCAACTGTGTCAGCATCAATCTTGAGAAACAAGTATGTGAATTGAATAATGTCACACACCAAAGATACGAAGACGATTGGGTTGAGGAGAAAACTTCTTCTACCCTGCATCTGAGAATTCCTTTTCCCGCGCGGTAAACCAAAAATTTCCCGTGCGGGAGTAGGCTAGTCAAGTGACATCCCGACTTCCTTTTACCCGATTGGTTTGTTTGTCGGCGGTGGCTCTTCGCGCGAGAAGACAAGATGATTTAATTAGTATTCTAGTTTCGGATGAGTTGTAAGCCTAACTATCAAGGACTCCTGAATCAAGGACTCCTATATCAAGGACTCCTATATCAAGGACTCCTGAAAAATCGCTCGAGATTAGCGCAGCGTAAACTTTCATGCTGACTTAATAAAATGTCAATGGCGGATGTTTTGGATGTTGGGCCAAAAAAAAAGAAAAGGAAGGACGCTGAATGGTGTCTTCAAGGCTGAGCGGTTGGTGGCGGTAAATAACGCATAGGTAAGGATATCGAACGATTGCCATGACAAATCTTTATAAAGCTGGGAAAAAGCCGTCAAAATATGGACAAAAATTGAGTATAAATGGATTTTTATTGTAGTCGGAGATGCCTGTTTATCTGGCGAGGTTGAGGGTCCAGACACAGCACGTGGGAGATAGAATCCCACATTTTGGATCACGGTCTTTCACGGCAAGTCCTGCTTTAGACGCCAAAAGTGTTAGACATGTTCCCGTTCAGATAACTCTGCTCGAATTTTTTAAATAAAAAGCAAAATTTTAATGAAATTCTTCCGATTCCTGGTAGACCACCTGGCGCTTCCGTTATTTACTTCATGCTCAAGCATTTAAAGAAAGTAAATGTTTTTATTCGGAGGAGATTTTCGCATGTAAAATGGGGTTGACAGGCCTACACGACTACCCAGCGCGTGTTTAGAGTAGGCTATTCAAAGTTTGGCCCTAACGAGTATGTCTTAGGGCGACCGTCCTCTTTTAAAAAATACGAGAAGCGGATTTCTGTATATTTCGTTCAGTAGTGGTTGTGTTTCTATTAAATGCCAGTGTCTCATGAGAAATTGCTTTAGGTTTGGCACTGATGGTTGGTATTGTGTAACAAAAGGTAAGATTCGTTGGTTCGTCTTTTATTTCTATTGAAGAGCTAATTTCCTGTTTTTTAATTCACTTCTGAGACGGTTGTGCTAATGAGGTCCTCTGGGTAGCCTCTCTTTAGCAAATGCGCTTCATTTGTAATTTTGGTATATAATATAGATATCGCCACCCTTAGGGCAAAAGTTGTGTTTTTCGTATAGGCTAAAATGCAATATTTTGAGCAGATACTGCAAAGTTTTTGCAGGGAGAGAGTTTCCTGCATTGCTTTAGTGTTGTTCTTTATTGATTACTCTGTTTTGGGGGCAAAAACGCAACCTATGCCCCAAGGAAAAGGATCGTGGATACGTACACACAATTGGCCAAAAGTAAGGCAATAGAAACAAGGGATTTTCGATCTTTCTAGCGAGTACGAAATGGCTGTGAAACACCTCATGTGTGACTGATACCGAGAACGAATCTCTACCAGTCTATTTAGTTAATCGGCAACTGACGAGATCCACAAGATTAGGATCGAAACCGCAGTCTTGCCTGACCATCTAAAGAAAATGTCGAAAGACAATATAACGGCAGATGGGCTATTAAACGCCCCGGGCCAAAGCAATGCCATTCAGAGAATGAAGAAAACATGGAAGTCTCATACGACACCGCCACTGAAGATGATCTACTCGGTAAGTCTGACGATAACGAAGAAATCCCTCTGTACCAAATGCCTAGCAGAACATGCCTAGAATCCCTACAATATAGGACGAGGGCAAAAATAAGAGAAGACGAGGATTTCAAAAATGAGATTTATTTATTTATAATAACTTCATTTGCCTAAATAATAAGATAATAATAATAATAATAATAATAATAATACAGACAGATAACAATAGAAATAACATCGAGATGCAAAAAGGCAAAAAGGGTCAAGCCAGAGAGGAACTCAATTCTCATTGACGGCAGCCCCCAGAATAAAAGCAATATGCAATAAAAATAAAACTAAAATGTAAAGGTAAAAATTATTGAAAAAACAAGTTAATTGATAAATGGATATTGGTGCAATATTATTGATATTATTTAAAAATGTGTTCTTTCAGTTTTTTTTTTAAACTTACTAGCAGAGCTAGAGCTAACTACTATGTCACTTGGCAAGTCATTCCAGATTTTTATATATTTATACCAAAAAGAGTTCTTGAGGATATTTGTTCGAGCATAAGGCGTCCAGATTTTGACATTGTTGGTAGATCTCGTCCGACTATTGGAGAAAGTTAAGTAATTACATATAAGTCTACTCTTGAAAAACCATGAATGAATTTGAATAATTGCACTAAACTAAGAAATTCACGACGCGAGTCGAGTGTTGGCCAGCCAAGATACTTCAAACGTTCACTATAGCAATATGTTGCACGAATCGTAATTTTTCTTTGTTGGTTGTAGGTCCAGCAACATGAAATGATCTGCAAAGACTGTGTGAACGACACAGCAGTCTTCACCAAGGATCCATTCAGCCTTTGAGCGTCAGCATACTTGCTGAAGTTGTGGCTTC